GCCTAGAAAGATTATATGCATTTGATGTAGCTTTTATTAAAGGTGAGTATGGCTCGAAAATACCAGTAGACTTTGATATCATCAGAACTGGAACCCATTATAGTAAAAGTCTCACGTGAACATCAGGCCCAAAAAAATATTCGCTTCTATCTTACCTCAAATATATACTAATAACTAAAAAGTTAAAATGAATAGGCAGATATAGATATAGAATGGTTTGGCAAATTATCTTTTGTATTGGCCATGCTACTTTTGCCAGTGTGTGTGTGTGTGCTAGCATTTATACGCAATGCCTGTCCTAAATCAGAGTGTTCAAGAAAGCCCACTGTCAAGCTCTGTTCATCAAAACTTAATGACCCAAAAAACCCCTTACCGAGACGGCGTTAGTCCGTAAGCAACAATAGTTGAGATAATGAGATGTAAGTCAGGATACGAGACCACTTATCATAAACGATCAGTCTAGGATAGACAAGATTTAGCTATACAAGGAAAGACCTGATTGCGGCTGCGTAATCTTGTTCGCCCGGTTTAGTAGATGAGTTTAGTCAAGTGTGTGAGTGAAGTTAGAACCATTAATGAGCGGACAAGTCGAGCCTTCTTTTGGATGGACAAACTATTCTATATTTGTCTATGTATAAACATTTTTGTTCTTTACTTATAGGTATATATAAGAGCAGGACAACCTTCTTGATCTAGTGTTAACTTGAGACTATTTACAAGAATGATTTCCAACTTTAAGGATGTTCGATGAAAGCTCCGCCCGTTTTAACCCGAAATGAGAGAGGATGCCTCGTGGACATAAACGTCGCATTAAAGCCAAACAGCTTGAGTAAGATCGACCTTCGAATCTCTTCTTCATGAATTATCACACGAAATAAAAGTCTCTCCAGCAATTTTGTCTCAGGAGATTTATTGAAACCAATTTACTCTTCGTATCTACAAGAGAGCCCTTTTCCACTGGTAATACAAAGCCTACTCAATTAAAAAGTAAGTAGTGTAGTTGACTGAAATTGTGAATACAGATAGGCCCCAAAGACATTGTTTTTGGAAAGGCCTGGCTTGTTTTGAATGTCATGCCTGCCCTGTGGTCTACTGGAACGCGTGTCAGTATGTCATTGTGGTAACTAAGCTAATTGAACTTCAATAGCACAATGTTATGCCTTTACTATGGATATTGAAGACCCTGACGTCCTCTTATACCTCTCATTTCTCCGGCTTAAAATGTTTGTCTACAAAAAGTATCTTATATTAGCAGAATGATTGAGGTCTATTTATAGACTGAACGGAAGGCCCGAATTTCAGCAATATGGCTAGTTATTGAGCCTTTGTAGGAGTGGAGACTCACTAAAGTATTGAGATACACCAATATCCTGGAAACGCAATAGATTTTATACATTGACTGGAGACTGGCTACACAAAAAGTTGCAATCAAACCCGGATGCAATATCATCGGAATTTATGCTGTTGCGGTATGTTTCGTATGAACAAGAGTGGGATAATGCTTGAGTCGTTCGTGCAATTATTTCATGCTCTTTGACTGTTCGCTTCCTGGTCAGAGTTGTGGCAGAATTTTTTATGGACTTAAGCAACCCAACAATCGGGACTAAACGTTGAAGCAATAAAAAAGTGTTTTTCAAAGTTATTTGTACCAACCTCTTTATGCTTGCACTGCACACTCATGTGTAGAGGAGTATGGCCATTTCGTGCGGCTGCATTGACATCTGCTGTATCCTTCTCCAGGAGCATTTGAGCCACCTGAATTCGATTGTGCTTGGCGGCAATATGCAAGGGGGTGAAACCTCTCTGTTTGGGAAAAGGGAAAACAAAGTAAAAATCGTTTATGACCATTTGATTTTATCCTTCAAACTAGTATTTCATGCAATCTGAATCTAATAAACTTACGAATGAGGTACTTTTGGAATAAGGCCAGTTTATTAGAACATAGAATGAATGGAGGCTTGACTACAAAGTAAACGGCTGGCTTTTGGGTGATGACAAATCCAAGATATAGACTACGAACTTGTAATTAATGTGAAGACAAGAAGACCAAGATTGTGTGACCTTTGGCCTGTTCGTACTCTCCTTTCTCTATCTAAAGTTGTTTTATCTAGTTTTTACAACTTTTTTTGGTGTGTAGCGGACATCACAGCATCAACTTAGCATCACACCGTCGAGTGGTAAAATTCCCGGATGCCTCGATTAAATCGGAGACATATCTTCAATGCGTACTCCCAGTTTTTGTACCGAGCAAAAAACCCTTTAATTTGACAATTTCCTTTTGACCAGTTGTGGCATAAAGGTATGCACACCAGAAGTTTATGGGAACAGACGGATGAATAAATTGGCGTTTAGCTTAACCGTGATACTAAATCCAAAACAGGAGAGGGGTGAAGAGAAACACCACAAGAGGCCAACTGAAAATGAGTCATTTAGTCCATTTTATGAGTTGAAACTTAGTGCCCAAAATAGCCCTTCTCGTTACCGATGCCAGCGAAGGGTCTGGCAATAGACCAAGTCACCGGTCGGTTGCTATAGTAGCACTTGGCAACTAGGGCAGAAGACAAAGTAAGAAGTACGTTCTTCCGAGTCATCCGGAAAGCTAGACTATTTTGTGTGTATACAGTTGAACAGATCGATAAAACTGTATCTATTTCCCATAAATTTAAATATTACCTTGGTTCTGGCCGTGACATCTGCTCCATTCTCCAACAGGACCTGAACCACTTCTGGGGGACCCTCTTTCGAAGATATATGGAGCGGCGTATAATTGTCTCTGCTCGCCAGGTTGGCGTCCGCCCCCACCGACAGAAGGAAGTTGATGGCGGCCAGGTTATGTGTTCTGATCGCAATGTGCAGCGGTGTCTGTTGTTCCTGTGGGTGCGTAGTCAAAATAATGTTCATGTAAGTCAATTTTGTGGAGTAAAAAAGTATAACCATTACATAAACCTAAGCTCCAACGTTTTAGGACACCGAGTATAATTAAACCTATCGTCCATATTGCATTGCCTCCTTTAATTTGGGGAATAAAAACGGCCATTAGTCCCGCGTGAAGACGCGCGAAGGCGAAAAAGATTATCAACGAAAGTGACTTAGATCCAGGACTTGACGGCAGTCAGGGCTATGACTCGACTTTCCATTTTAAATGAAAAGTTGGTTGGAAGGAATTCGTGAATTGGTCTCATTGGCAACCGAAGGAGG